CCTGATACGCACAAGCTCTTGTGAGAACATCTCTAGGTAAGTGACAGGATGTTCGTCCACACATTCTTCAGCGCTGCCTCTCACAACCTTTAGATCAGAAAACATTAGAAGGTTTGAGCCACTAGTTTCTTTCTCTGGGTGACTCTTTGTCTTCATCATCTTGTCCTCACTACTTTTCTTTCTCTCCTTTCCTTGGATTAATTAGGGTCTCACAACAAACCAGCAGCTGCTGGCCTCAACGAAGACAACCAGAGCTGCGAGGGTGCCAGCCCTCAGTGGTAACCAAACTCAGCCTCTTCCCAGTCCGTGGCTCCTCTGCTCCCCAGTATCAGGGACCATCCCCCCATCCCTCAGGCCACATCCAGACCCTGGCGCCAAGTCTCGGCATCAAGGTGGTCCCAAGGCGCCACCTGGCCCTTCCACACCACGGCTAAAGTCTTGCCATCGGCCCCATCCCACCAACCTCCGCACCCTCGCCCCCGCCTGACGCCAGGTGGTCTCAACCTTACCTCTGCCCCACCCGGCCCACGGCACTCTTGCAGTCCAGCTCACACAGTACGCGGGCGCGCGCTCCCGGCCCCGCCCCCAGCGACGCAGCCTAGCTCCACCCCAAACAGGGGGAGGCTAGGGCGACGTTCGAAAGGTCCTACTGCAGTCCCTGCTTCTTTCCCTCCCTCATCGTGAGAGGTTGGTCCCCGAAGGTGAATTTTCTAAAAATGCCCAAGAGACTAAGGTTGCCTTTGGAGACTCCTTGACCCTAGGGTTCTTGGAGATCCACTTTCCTCCATATTCGTCTGTTCGTCTGCGGGGTTAACTGACATTCCAGGGCTAGGGAAGGATCTGCAGGGACAAGGCGGTGCTGACAGATCTAGCACCTTTCCAGGGAGGCCCTGTTGTGTCCCAAGAGAACCAAGAGACCACCAGCACCTAATTAAAGCCAAATAGAGAGCATAGCCAGCCCGGGACTGATCCCGAGTTCTCCAGAGGAGATTCAGAGATCAGCCCCGACTTTCAGCTACATTTTTATTTTATAGGGGGCTTGTTTCAAATTTCTGCATCTGGAATTTCTTGATGGCCTTGGGGGAGAGCAAGCAAGCAAGAGAAGCGGAGACAGTTGGCAATAAGCCGGAGCAGCGAGTGGAGGTGGGAGGAAGCTGAGGCGGGAGGGAACTGCGTCAGCACACATCTATGGTCAGGGTTGTCCTGCTATTCACTCTATTTTCTAAGTTCTTAAAAACAAGAAATTTGCTTAGAGGACAAATTCACTTAAAGGACAAATTCACTTAGAGGACAACAGGTCAGCTGGCACTTTCTCAGTTTGTCCCTGAAAGCTCCACAGTTGGCCTTTTGTATTATGTAATCAGGGTGGGATGTGACAAGTAGGCCAGCACAGCCTGAAGTGCCCTTCTTTGTGGAGCGATAACCAAAACTCTAGGGCACCCAGATCTTTGTAGGGGAGAAATCAGGAAATATTTTCTTTATTTCACAGTCCGAATAACTGCCTCAAAGTTTGGGGCAAAAAGTTGGGGACCACCAGGAAAACTTGAATGAATCACACAAGTTACTCAAACTTCAGTGGGTACCAGAATGTGCCTTCCTAAGGCCCTCACCTTCACTGCCCCGCCCTGCATCTGAATCTCAAAGGGCGATGGCTAGAATTTTTAAAAAGATTTTTAAATCAATTTTTAGAGAGGAGGAAAAACATTTCTATGAGAGCAAAAGATGGATGGGCTGCCCTACCAGGGATCTAGCCGGAAACCTGGACATGTGCCCTTACCAGGAATCGAACTGACAATCTTATGGTGCACAGGATAATGCCCAACAGAGCCACACTGGCCAGGGCTGGCCTGGATTTTTTTAAACGGGCTTTGCAAGTGTTTCTCAGCCACAAAGTTGGTAAACAATCTGGCTTGAGTTTACAAATGCAGCTGAGGTGGCCTCTGAGCCTGCTTTCTTGGGATATAAACCAGGGCTTTCTGCATCTGAGGCCAACAGAGTGTTCTCTAAAGGCTGTTCTTCTCTTCTATGCATTTCCTAAATTGGACTAAAGTGGAAATGTAACATGTCAGTGAGATAACCAGAGACGCACAGCCGAATTGTAAAGAATTGTAAAGGAGCACTTTATTACACCAGAGGCCTGGGGGGATCTCCCAAATCCCACAGCCCGCAGCTTCCTTTGTTCTTAGCTTATATAGGAACAAAATACAGAAAAAACTACATTAGAAAAACAGAAAGAGCTACATTCAAAGAAAAAACACATTCCTCCTGGCTCCACTTAACTGGCATCAGGGCTGATACAGACTTCTCCAGAGGAGAGGGGGGATAGGTTGCAGGGATTAGGGCAATCATTAATCTCTTTCTTTTTCATGGTCCCTTCAAGTTTCCCAAGGCCATCATTAACTCCTTATCTTTATGGTTCCTCTGGGTGTCAGTCCCAAGTTTTTTAGAAAACTGCTCCGGTGTTTACGTGCAGGAATAACTGATCAGAATAGAGTTTGATTTTCTAAATAGCCCAGTTCAGAAACAGGCAAACCTTACCACACACTCCACTTCAGACTTGATGCTAGATATACCCAGGTCATTGATCCAAAATCCCAGGGGTCTCCATCCATCACCTAGAAAAGGAAGGTGGTTGTGAAAACGACGTTAAGTGCATGAACTCAAAGCCTGCCAGCTACTGTCATTCCCTCAGCAAACCTGCACTGCACCTGTTGTTCTATGCGTGGGACTTGGACAGAGATGAGTATGAGGGGTCCTGCTTCATGGTAAGCAGCAGCCAAAGGTATGTGGATGCAAAGGGGATGGAGTAGGTGTTTTTCTTGGTGGTGAGGAGGCCTAGAAAGGGAAGGTGGAGCCCCTAAGCATGAGTCAGCATAAATAGCAGTCATTAAATTAGTCATGCTAATTTATTTATAGGGATAAACTGGTTTCTTGGGGTATAAATTCAAAAGGAGATGCAAGCATTTTATTAAGTTGTGATGTCCTTCCCTGGCAGTCAGGGCAGCAAGTTCTAGGATAAGCTAAAATGATCCTTTAAAAAATAATAATAAAGTTACCCCCTAACAGTCCTGGGGCAAATGTAAAATTAAAAAAAAAATCCCCCAATGATTCATAACTGTTTTTGAATACAGAGGCTTAGGAAGGAGTTTCCACTGGGTATGTGAGGAAGGTACAACTTCTGTTAGAGTTGGGGGGAAAGGGTAGGAGCAGGGCCTATGCAGGCTAGATTCAGCCAACAGATGCCAAGATGATGTCTACTGGCAGCTCCTCTGAGCTTCTGGCTGTCACCTGCATTGTAACTGTGTTCAAAAGCAACAGCCAGGAGCACACCAGGATGTCATTGTTATAATGTGTCAGCGAGATAACCAGAGACACACAGCCAAATTGTAAAGGAGCTCTTTATTCTCATTGGCAGGCTGCAAGGGGCATAGTCTCCCTTCAGATCAGCAGCCCTGATTCTTCTTGCTTGTTGATTTTAAAGACAGAAGCCCCATCCTCCTTTTGCCCCCACCTCCCCCTCAGAGGACTGGTACAATAGTGGGTGTGACAGTGATTACATAAGTCAAAATTAGAATTATTCACTGGGCTCATGAGTACCTGCAATTACCGGTACTCAGAAACTGCAAATGCCTCCCAACACGTGGGGCAACTATAATCTTAGTTTACTTCTAGGGGTAATTAACTTTTCATTAGAAAAATATCGAGAAAGGTCTGTTGATGATAAAAATGGAATTATTTAGTCACCTTAGCCAAGAGGCCTACATAGGAATGGAATCTAGTCACCTTAGCCTTGGGGCCCAGGTCACATGACCACCCCAGAACACACCTAGAAGGGAAGAGAGAAGCACAGGTATATAAGGCAGAAGGGGGCTGCTGAGGTGGCATTTGCAGCAACTGATCAAGGCAGCTCTGGGGTAGTGAAATGTAGGCCTGGGACCAGGAAAACTGGGCTGAAACCCGAATGAGGCCTTGCACAAGTCACTTAACTTCTCTGAGCTATAGTATCCTCAACCAGAAAGTGGAGATAATACTAACCATATTTTAAGCTTCTGCCAAGATCTAATGAGTTAATGGACATATAAGAGTGACTGGTATCATAGAGGCTCTAACACATGTTGGCTGAATCTAAGAGCACAGAAGGGACAGCCCCACCATGACAAAACTGCAGAGCAGGTGTAAGACCCAGGGGACAAGGTTGCTTCACTGTGGCAGGAAACATGGGCTTGGGGGTTGTCAGCTGTGAGAAGGGTACTGAAGCAGAGCTACCTCTCCAATCCTGTTTATGAACACTCAGCAAAAAACAAAAACAAAAAACTCCCATTTCCTTTTGTTCATTGTTTTAGGTATGATAATTGTATTGCCCAACCCTCCCTTTTAAACAAAGGGTTATTATCTCTTAGGCAGTGGTTCTCAACCTTCCTAATGCCACGACCCTTTAATACAGTTCCTCATGTTGTGGTGACCCCCAACCATAAAATTATTTTCGGCCCTGCCTGGTTTGGCTCAGCAGTTAGACTGTTGGCCTGCGGACCAGAGGAGTCCTGGGTTCGGTTTCCGCAGGGGCACGTACAAAAAAAAAATTTTTTTTTGGTTGCTACTTCATAACTGTAATTTTACTATTTTTATGAATCACCATAGTAAATATGTGTTTTCAGATGGTCTTAGGCGACCACCATGAAAGGGTCATTCGACCCCCAAAGGGGTCGCATCCCACAGGTTGAGAACCACTGTCTTAGAGGACCATACAGATACAGAAAGATTTAAATACATAATGCTATATTTATAATTTGCTTTAAAATATTAAGGGGGCAGGGAGACAATGATGGGGGTATAGATGCTGTATTGTTGAAGCTGGAAGATGAGCACATGGGTGCTCATTATACTATTCAACTTTCATTGTTTAAATATTTCCATGAATGCTTAAAATCCTATTCCTATTAGAAAATTAGACAAGGAATATGAAAACAATTCAGAAAGCAGGAAATAAATACAAATGGTACTTCACACTTAAGAAGATGTTTAATGTCATTCAATACACAAGAAACATAAAACTATACCAAGATACAAGCATTTTATTAATTTGTGATGTCCTTCCCTGGCAGTCAGGGCAGCAAGTTCTAGGATAAGCTAAAATGATCCTTTAAAAAATAATAATAAAGTTACCCCCTAACAGTCCTGGGGCAAATGTAAAATTAAAAAAAAAAAAAAAAATCCCTCAATGATTCATAATTGTTTTTGAATACAGAGGCTTAGGAAGGAGTTTCCACTGGGTATGTGAGGAAGGTACAACTTCTGTTAGAGTTGGGGGGAAAGGGTAGGAGCAGGGCCTATGCAGGCTAGATTCAGCCAACAGATGCCAAGATGATGTCTACTGGCAGCTCCTCTGAGCTTCTGGCTGTCACCTGCATCGTAACTGTGTCCAAAAGCAGCAGCCGGGAGCGCACCAGGATGTCATGACCACCCCGGAACACACCTAGAAGGGAAGAAAGAAGCACAGGTGTATAAGCAGAAAGGGGCTTGCTGAGGTGGCATTTGCAGCAACTGATCAAGGCAGCTCTGGGGTAGTAAAATGGGACTAGGCCTGGGACCAGGAAAACTGGGCTGAAACCCCTGAGTGAGTCAGACTTTGTACAAGTCACTTAACCTCTCCAAGCTCTAGTGTCCTCAACCAGAAAGTGGAGGAGATAATACTAACCATATTTTAAGCTTCTGCCAAGATCAAATGAATTAATAGACACATAAGGATGTACCTGGTATCATAGAGGCTCTCACATATGTTGGCTGAATCTAAGAGCACAGAAGAAGGGACAGCCCCACCATGACAAAACCGCAGAGCAGGTGTCTGCAAGACCCAGGGGACTGGGTTGCTTCACTGTGGCCGGAAACATGGGCTTGGGGGTTGTCAGCTGTGGAGAAGGGCACTGAAGCAGAGCTACCTCCCAATCCTGTTTATAAACACTCAGCAAAAAAAAAAAATCTCCCATTTCCTTTTGTTCATTGTTTTAGGTGTAATAATTGTATTGCCCAACCTCTCCTTTTTTTTTTTAACTTTTATCCTCACCCAAGGATATTTTTCCACTTATCTTCAGATAGAGTGGGAGGGAGGGAGGGAGAGAGAGAGGGAGAGAGAGAGAGAGAGAGAAACATCGATGTGAGAGAGACATATTGACTGGATGCCTCCTGCACCACCCCAACCAGGCCAGGGACAAACCGCAACTGAGGTACGTGCCCTTGACTGGAATCAAACCCAAGACTCATTGGTCCAAGGGCTAATGCTCTAACTACTGAGAGAAACCGGCCAGGGCCCAACACCTTCTTTTTAAACAAAGGGTCATTATCTCTTAGGCAGAGGTTCTCAACCTTCCTAATGCTGCGACCCTTTAATACAGTTCCTCATGTTGTATGTGGCTGTATCTGCATGTGGGCGGACCCGCGTAGAGGTGGATAGAGGAATGGTATCTCGGTTCCTAAGACCATCGGAAATATGTGTTTTCCGATGGTCTTAGGCTACCTCTGTGAAAGGGTCCAAAGAAGTCACAACCTACAGGTTGAGAACTACTGTCTTAGAGAAACATACCGATACAGAATAATTTAAGTACATAATGCTATTTTTGTAATCTGCTTTAAAATTCTCAGGGGCAGGGAGAGACAATGGTGGGGGTATAGATGCTGTATTGTTGAATTTGGAAGATGAGCACATGGGTGCTCATTATACCATTCAACTTTTATTGTTTAAATATTCCCATGATGAATGCTTAAAATCCCATTCCTATTAGAAAATTTAGACAAAGAATATGAAAATGATTCACAAAACAGGAAATACAAATGATACTTCACATTTGAGAAGATACTTAATGTCATTCAATACACAAGAAACATAAAATAAAAGAGAAAAAACGGCGGCGGAGTGAATGGACGCTGCACAGACCATCTCCCAGGACCAAACTGGAATTGCAACGAAAATAAAGACAGGTCGTCAGGAAGGGGCAACCGAAGGGCAGCTTGGAGGACCACATAACCAGGGACACTGACTCAATCCTGGTAGGCTTGCGAGGACCTTGGCTGGGTCCTGCTGCGGCCTCGGCTGGGATCAGTGGACTCGGCTGGAAGCTGCGACCTCAGCAGGGTCCTGTGGCCTCGGCTGGGACCAGTGGCTGCCTCGGCTGGGTCCTGCAACCACAGCTGGGGGCTATTCCCTCGGGTGGGACCAGAAGCCTTGGCTGGAGGCCGTGGCCTTGGCTGGAGGCCGTGGCCTCGGCTGGGTCCTGCGACCTCGGCTGGGGGCTATGCCCTTGGCTGGGACCAGCCGCTTAGCTGGAAGCTGCACCCTCGGCTGGGTCCTGCGGCCTCGGCTGGGGGCTATGCCCTCGGCTGGGACCAGTGGCTTAGCTGGAAGCTGCGCCCTCGGCTGGGACCAGCGGCTGCCTTGGCTGGGTCCTGCGACCTCAGCTGGGTGCCACGCCCTCATCTGGGACCAGCGGCCTTGGCTGGAAGCTGCGCCCTCAGCTGGGTCCTACAGCCTTGGCAGGGACCTGCGGCCACCTTGGCTGGGTGCTACTCCCTCGGCTGGGTCCTGTGACCTGAGCTGGGTGCTGTGCCCTCAGCTGGGAGCTGCCAGAGCCTCGGCTGCCCTTGGCTGGGAGCCGTGCCCTCGAGTTAAAGTCCCAGGTGATTCCGCGGAACAGAGCCCGGACAGAGGCTAAATTGGCAGCAGCCACTCACTTTGGGCTCCGGCAGAGGGAGGGCAGACTAGACTGGAACGGTGTGGGGACACCTGGGATTTGGAGGGTGCTCGGAGCTTTTTCTGAGTGCAGCTACGCAGGACTATGGTCACCTTATTCCTTCTCAGGGCCCTGGGGAGAGGCGGTGGCCCCTCCCTTGGAGATTCAACAATACCTGGTGGCCATTGAAATGCTAATTGAAACCCATTAACGACCAGCATCTGCCCTACCCTCTGGAAATCCTCTTACACTGAGGACCTGAGGGAGTTTTTCAGTCAACTCAGAAACCAAGGTTCTTCAGGTGACCACTACTAATAGCCTCCATGCAAAAAAGCTAGAGGATAACTACCATTCCCTGGGCTAGCAACTCTAACCAGGAAAGTTAAGCCTTGACAGTGGTGTTTAAAGTGGGTCCTCCCTGCCTCATCCAAACCCAGGAGAGGGAGCCACAAACAGCAGAACACCAACACCCACAGGGAAAATTTGGCAGACTCCAAAGCCCACTGTGATAACCAAAATGGTGAAACATAGAAACAAAAGCCAAATGAAAGAACAAGAGACCTCTACCAAAGATGAGATAAATGAGGTGCAGTTAAGCAAGTTAACAGAGCTAGTATTCAGAGCCATGATCTTGAGGAAGCTCAACAGCATGGGTAAGGACATGAGCACCATGAGTAAAGACATAGAAATGTTGAAAAGCAACCACTTGGAAATTAAAAACCATCAAGAAGAAATGAAGAATGATATAGCAGAAATAAAAAACACATTGGAAAGTCTAAATAGCAGAGAAGAGGAAGCAAGGACAGGATCAGTGAATTAGAAGATAGGGTAGAAAAAAATTAACCCATCAGAAAACCAAAAGGAAAAAATAATTAAAAAACAGGAAAACAGCTTAAGAAAACTGTGGGTCAATGGGAAACATAATAACATTCGCATAATAGGAGTCCCCAAACAAGAAGAAAATGAGCAATAGTTAGAGAATATATTTCAAGAAATAGTAACAGAAAACTTCCCTAATTTGGTGAAGGAAGAAGGCATTCAAGTTCAAGAAGCACAGAGAACCCCAAGTAAGAAGAACCCAAACAGGCCCACACCAAGACACACAGTAATCAAACTGCCAAAAATTAACGACAAAGAGAGAATCCTAAAAGCAGCAAGAGAGAAGCAACATGTTACCTACAAAGGAAACCCCATAAGGCTCTCAGCTGACTTCTCACAAGAAACACTACAGGCCAGAAGGGAATGGCATGAGGTAATCAAGGTCATGAAAAACAAGGATCTGAATCCAAGACTACACTATGCAGCAAGGATATTCAAAATAGAAGGTCAAATAAAGAGCTTCTCAGACAAAAAAAGGCTAAGGGAATACATTAGCACCAAACCAACACTGCAAGAAATGTTTAAAGGACTGCTGTAATTAGTAGGAAGAAAAATATAACCACACTAAACAAAAATGGCAATAAATAAGTACATATAAATAATCACCTTAAATGTAAATGGACTGAATGCGCCCATAAAAAGACATAGAGGAGCTGATTGGATAAGAAAGCATGACTCATCTATATGTTGTTTACAAGAGACCCACCTCACAACAAAAGACTCACATAGGTTGAAAGTGAAGGGATGGAAAAAAATCTTCCAAGCAAACGGAAAGGAAAAAAGGGGGGTAGCAATACTCATATCTGATGAAATAAATTTCAAAATAAAGGCCATAACTAGAGACAAAGAAGGCCACTACATAATATTGAAAGGATCTATCCAACAGGAAGATATAACCTTGATAAACATATATGCACCCAATATAGGAGCACCAAAATATATCAAAAATCTTCTGGAGGACTTCAAAGGAGAAATTGATAGCAACACAATCATAGCAGGGACTTCAATACCCTGCTGACATCCCTGGATAGATCCTCTAGACAGAAAATTAGCAAGGAAACAGAGACTCTAAATGAAGCACTAGACCAAATGGATTTAATAGATATCTACAGAGAATTACACCCCAAAACTACAGAATTCACATAATTCTCAAGTGCACATGTGACATTCTCAAAGATAGACCACATGTTAAGACACAAACTAAGTCTCTACAAGTTCAAGAAGACTGAAATCATATCAAGCATCTTCACAGATCACAATGGCATGAAACTAGAACTCAATTGCAAGAAGAACATACAAAGACATTTGAACTCATGGAAGATCAATAGCATGTTATTAAACAATGATTGGGTTACCGAGGAGATCAAGGAAGAAGTGAAAAACTTACTGGAAACCAATGAAAATGAAGACACAACAACACAAAATCTATGGGATGCAGTGAAAGCAGTTCTAAGAGGGAAGTTCATAGCACTACAGGCCTACCTCAAAAAACAAAAATCTCTAATAGACTATCTAACCTCACAACTTAAATATCTAGAGAGCAAACAAACAAACAAAAAAAACCCAGAGCAAGTATTAGGAAGGAAATAGTAAAGATCAGAGCAGAAATAAACGACAAAGAGTCCAAAAAAACAATTCAAAGGATCAGTGAAACAAAGAGCTGGTTTTCCGAAAAGATTAACAAGATTGATGGACCCTTAGCTAGACTCACCAAGAAACAGAGAGAAAGAACCCAATACACAAAATCAGAAATAAAAGAGAAGTAACAACTGACACCACAGAAATACAAAAGATCGTTAACAACTACTATGAACAATTATATGGCAACAAATTCGACAATCTAAGCAAAATGGACACATTTCTACAAACACAT